CTGCTACTACTACTACTACTACTAAACCAACAACACCAGCCCAAGAAGCAACAACCCAAATCACAACAACACAAACAACGACAACACGCTGGAGACTTGCATCGTCCGTTGGGAACCCCACCCGTGCCCACTATAAGGGCATGGCGGGGAGGCCGTAGCCGAAGCAGGGGAGACCACGAATTCGGGTATGCGGAGAGCACGCTGGATCACGCGATGCCCACCGCACGTCGTTTGCGCTGTCGTTCTCATGCTGTCGTGGTCCGGTCGCTTCACGAAGATGTTTCTGCCTTGCGACGGTGTTGCAGCCGTGCGCGTCCAAGCTGTGAATGAAGAGGAGAAGGAGAGTCTCGGAGAGTAGAAGGAGGAGACGGAGGAGAAGGAAGAACAGGAGGAGAGGGCTGCCCAGAGACCTTTTCCTTCAATGCGGGGTCAAAAAAACCTGGACCCTTTCTTGGCAGCCAGTTCTTTATCCGGGTTGTTCTTGGAGGGCCCCGAGGCCCTGCGAGAGGCCCAAGAGGCCGATAACAGCGAAAAACCTCTAACAGGTTTTTGCAATACGCTGGGAGCCTGGGAGGAGGAGGAGGGCCGCCTGGTTCCTCTCGCTTCGCAGGGAGCACGTCCGGAGCGCGTAGAGCATGTGCGTGGGAGCTTTGAGGGCCTCTTGGAAGCATCTTGGGGGCCTGTTGGGGGCATCCTGGGCCGTCTTCGGGCGTTTTTTAGCTGTCTGGCACCTGCGGAGGTCGTCTTGGGGGCCTCTTGGGGCCCTCCAAAAGCCATCGAGGGTCGTTTTGGAGGTCTTTTGGGCCGTCTTGGGGGGAGGAGGTTAGACGAGAACCAAGATGCATAGCAAACAACGTTCAGAGGTACGCGCGGATCTGTTGGATCGGAGCTGGACCCCAGTCCCTGGCGCGCGGAGCGGTCCCTGGCGCGCGGAGCGCGCCATGGGCAGCGCCGGAGGCACCGCCAGGGGGGCCCTGCGCAGATCAAAGAAATCCGCGCGAACCTCCGACAATTTACGTTTATGCCACGTCTCGCCATCGCTCGGACGTCCATTCCCCGTGCATTTGTCGACGTCGCGCGTGTATTCTCTGCAAGATGATCACTCATGTTGTTCGATGGTCCGGGCGATGCAAAGATGTCCCTCGATGGCCCGAACGATGCCAAGAAATTGTCTTCTTCAAGAAATGGCCTCCCGCTCCCCTCGGCGCTGGGAGGGAGGTTCAGGGGGAACTTTAGGCTTTAGGGGTGGATATCGACGTCGGGGTGTCTCGCTGTACCTACAACGAAAGCCCAAAGTCACACAAAAAAGAGCCAAAAACGTCCAACACCGTCATTCTCTGACCCTCCCCGATCTCCCTCGAGCCTTACCCCGACCACTAATCACGAGGTTTAACGATAGGAGGGGACCGGATAAAAGGGGGGGAACATCGACCTGGAATCGGCGATAGATCGCCGACGGAACGGCGACACAGGCCCTCGACAACGAATCCGCGCGTTCCCAGGCGGGTCGGGCTATCGGGCCCCTGTTGGCGGTGAATGGGCGATGGGGGGTCGATGCGTCCCCACCTGAGCCTATCCCCCCTCACACTGCCCCTGCGGAAGAAGCAGTCTGCATCGAATCGGGGCATCGGATCGGGTCGAAACGTTTGCCGAATCGGACCGCATCGGCACGGTGCGGAAATCGAACCAGATGGGCGGCGCCAGGATGCACAACAGAGCCATGCAAGCATCGGGGCGCATCGGATCGCTCGAACATCGGAATCGAATCTCAGGTTGGCCAGAGCAGATACCGAGTCGGATCGATGGGATCGAGATGTCGCGGCGCCATTTGCTTGTCGACGCTCCCAAATGGGCGACTTCGACACCACGGCAAACCCACGGCAAGCCCTGCGCCCCGCGCCCCAAGCAGACGAGGCCGGCACCGCGGCAAACCCCTCAGCAAGCCCACCACGCCCGAGGCGGCCTTTACCCTGCCCTCCCCAGGACGTACGGCCGGGCGTCGAAGCAAACGGCTCGGCGACCTCCTCCTCCTCCTCCTCCTCCTCCCTCCTTCTCCTCCTCCTCCTCCCCCCCTCCTCCCCCTCCTCCTCCTCCTCCTCCTCCTCTCCTCCTCCTCCCTCCTCCTCCTCCTCCTCCTCCTCCTCCTCCTCCTCCCTCCTCCTCCTCCCCCTCCTCCTCCTCCTCCTCCCTGAGGCGCGCCCCGGCCCGAGGCCCCCCCCGGGGGGATGATGAGGTCCGAGGCCAGCCGCGACAGCAGGGAGATGCCTGCCGCGCGGGGCGGCGCGCAGCGCCTGCCCCCACCCGTGCCGCCGCGCCTCTCCTGCGGCCCCCATAGCCAGATCTCCGAGGGTGAAGAGGGCAAGGTCAACCAGACTCGACCTTACTCCGAGCCCTGAGATGGGCAAGCCAAAAACGGTGACGATTTCGGGGATGTGCCCTCAGAAACCGATGGAACCCGTAAACGCTGCATCAGAGCAAACGGATGACGACGATACCGCTACGGATCGAGGATGAAGAATCGCGACGGGCTGTTTTTTTGCTATTTTCGGCCTCTGGGGGGGGGGCCTCGCCGAGACCCAGAACGTGCAAGAAAAGACTCTGGATGACAAGCTGGCCCTGGGAAATGGATCGAGACCTCCGTCGACCTTGCGCGACCGAGATCTCCGAGGGCACGAAGTTTTCAAACGTGGCGTTTTTCTTCGGTTTGGGCCACCCCGTAATCGTGCCCAGGGGCAATGAAAAAGTGGTCCGGGATAAAAGCTGCCCTCGGGGTCGAGACCTCTGGGGCCTCTGATGTCTGGGTAGTTGTCCCTTCGCGTCCGCTCTGAGCGGCTTTCATCCTCCACGCAATGCTTGTTGCGCGTTCGGCTTCATTTCAGTCGCTCCCACGTTCGGTTGCTCCCCCTTCCTCTCCCCCCGCGCCACCAGGAGAAACGCGGTCGTCGGGAGACCGCTGCGGGCAGGCAAGGGATAAATGGATCCCAAGTGTCGACCTTATCAGTTCATGGAAAACCCTCCTCCAAGCCAGCCTCCAAAGCAGCCTCCAGAACCGCGGAGGACAGATGGGCAATGGCTGCATGGGGTGGTACTGCTCAATGAAGTCATAGCCTCAGCAGGGCGTTCACTGAGACTGCGAGACGAATGGAAAGATCATCTTGCTCTCTCCCCTCGGTTCGCGCGCGGACCATTCTGTCCGCGCTCGATGCGAACGAGCCTTGGCTACAATGGTTACGGACAGCTTCAGCGGGCGGGAGGGGGCGCCGAAGTGATCCAGGACAGGGCGCCGCCATCACGTCCTGAGCAAAGCAAGCCCCGAGAACTGCCCCATCGCTTCCGCGATATATTAAAAAGAAAACCTTGACACGTTAGCGGACGAAAGCCGTGAAAGGCTAGCGATCTGGAACATCAGCCCATCCCTTCAACATGCGGTCAGATGAAGCGGGTGTGTATGGATCGCGGAGGAGCCACCGCACTGCTACGAAGTATTGTTGTTAGTCACGGTCTCGATTTTCGCGGGGGGAGGATGGGTATCATTCGCCCCAGGGTGGCAATCCGCCTTGCTGAGGAGCATCGCCCCCTTGCCATTCTCCACTCACAAGGAGGCGATCCGTCCTGCTGTGGAGCAAGTCCCTTGTGTCACCCCTAGGGTGGCGATCCGTTCTCCTGTGGAACAAGTCCGTTCTGTCACCCGTGAGGTCGGATAGGCCTTCCCTTTTATGTTACCCCAAGGTCGCCCTGGGACGATCCGTCCTGCCGATGAGCAGGTCCCCCCTGTCACCTGGAAAGAAGGTGCGGCAAAGGCTGCCGTAGGCCTCGCCCTCCCGTCACTCTTAAGATGGCGCCCGCTGAAGCTATGACTTCCAGAGCACAGCCTGGCGGCAATGCTGGCGGCCCCCGCAACCGCTCGTGGACTTAAACGGAGGGAGGTGGCTGTCACAGGGATGCGGCTTTCGCATGCCATCCACCGAAAACCAGGTGCCTCCAAAGGCCCACGGAACAGGCTCCAGGATCAGATGGGTTGTTCGCCCGATGTTCGCGAGCCCCGCTTGCAAGGATGGGAAAAGGCCCCACCCGAAGCGACATGTGCATGTCTAACCCTGCAAGGGAATCAGCAGTAAACTATACACGTCGCTGATTTATAATTGTGCTCATTTCTAAGTGTGCTCGTGTCTAATTGTTCCTGGCCCAGGATAAAACAGTTAGAAATGAAAGGATCTTGGCCCCCTGAAAAAATCAAAGATCTCTCGAATACTTAAAACTGATTAATGTGTAGTCCTCTCCTCTCCTTCCCCTCCAAGTTGCCCCCAGCACTGGTGCGGCGCGCTTTCACCAACAATCGGGAGACCTCGTTGCGCCGACGACGACAACCCCAGAAGCACGGGAAAAGAACTAACCCTTCCAGCACCGCGAGCCCCTGACCCTCCCCGATCTCCCTCGAGCCCGAGCCTCGACCACCGACCACGAGGGCCCACGATAGGAGGGGACTCTGGACCGCCTTGGGCTTCGAGGCGGACCCAGCCGTGGCCACGAGGGCGACCAAAGACGATCAAAAACCTCCCGAGAGCGAACCTGGATCATCAGGACAACCCAGACGCTGCCCCTGAAATCAGCAGGGCAAGACACGCATAAAATCCTATCGTCGATCCTCCCCAGACGTCCGGCTGCTCCAATTGTTTCGAGGCATGGGCCCCAGACGTGTGGACAACTTCCCTGGGGGCAATGTTTCGTCCTGACTCGATTTTTTGACGCTCCTGAGGTCAGGCGAGGGCCCCCGGGAGGCCGAGAACAACCAAACATCGACCGCTCCAATCTCTGGCCCTTGCTCGGACGTCCATTCCCCGTGCACGTTTCGATGTCGTGCGTATCAGTTTCACTGGATGATCCCACCATGCTCCTCGAATGGCCCTCGCCATGAAAACTGCACGCGTCCGAGCGATGCCAAGATCTTTTGGGGAGCGTCGGAGCTCCGGGCTCCCCCCCCGCGCCCCAGCGCGGCAGGCGTCCTGCGACCCGCGGCATGCGCCGCTTGTAGAAGCCCTCCAGGGCATCCGCGATCGCCTCTGGCGCGGCGGGGCCCCCGACCCCTGCCCCCGAAAACGGCCAATTCGCTAAGCGACGTGTCAGGGTAGGAGGTCTATCAACCTCCGACCCTCGAGAACATGAGGCCCTCCGCCGCACCAAGCTAAAGAACATTCGAGGGTGCCCTCCCCCAGGATGCACAAGAACATCCAACGAGCACGAAGAGCATCAGGGTAGCCTCCACGAACCGACCTTGATCTGATGCCTCGGTCCGGCTGCAGCATAATCAGCAGCAAGTTTCGTGACTCCCCCTTCCCAGTCCCCCCCTCCCCAGAGATTCGACGCTCCAGAAAAATTGAAGCGGGCGACTTTGGGTTGTGTTCGGCTTCCAGGGGCCCTCGCTGGGCCCCGGGAGCGTCAACAAAACGACTCAATTGCCCTAGGGAAGTGGTCCAGACTTCCGGGCCCACGCACCAAAAGAGTGGGAGCAGCCAGATGTCTGGACAGGACCCCCTCACTGATTCCTTAGATCTGCACTGGGCCCCCCTGGGGGCGCCTCCAGTGCCGCACCTGGCGTTATGAGGAAAATCCTGGAGGCCTCGTGCAGCAACTAGAGACTCAACTTACGTCGGATCCACGTCGGATATTCAACGAATTCACATCGAATTTGCGTCGGCCTTGCGCCAGAGCGCTGTCGTGCGAACGCCTCCGCGTATCTGACGGGGCGGACATGTGGCCTAAACAGCTGGACAATGTGACCGTTGTGCACCGCGCGAGGCCTCCAGGAATTTGCTTCGAGCTGTAGCTGGCGCGATTCGCGCGCCAAGGAGCAGGCCTCCGCGCAGATCGAAGAAGCCCAGGCGGACCTCCGAAAATTTATGTTTAGACGGTGTCTTTCATCTATGGCCACCGCCTCCCCGCGCCGGCGACTAGAGAAAAAAAGGTCGAGGTGCCAGGTTCAAGGTTCATGGCCAGAGGCATGTGCGCGGACGAGGGGAGGGTGGGACACACACGCACACACACAATCACACATACATCCTAGTCTGGGCTCCCTCACAGGTTAGGGTGGCGCCCTTGGGCCCCTCTGGCCTTCGGGGAAGCTCCTCGTTGCCGCCGCCGGATCCAATGCCAAAATTCCTGCCGGAGCGCACCCCATGGACAAGTCGGGGGACCAATATGGAGGCAGGGAGCCCACACCCCCAGCGACTCGAAAACGTTTCGATTGAGGAGGCGGCCGACGGAGAAACATTGCATCAAAATCTGTGCCGCTTGTGTGTGTGTGCGTCTATGTGTCCATGTGTGTATGTATGTGTGCACGCGTGTGCGTGTGCGTGTGCGTGTGCGTGTGCGTGTGCGTGTGCGTGTGCGTGTGCGTGTGCGTGTGCGTGTGCGTGTGCGTGTGCGTGTGCGTGTGCGTGTGCGTGTGCGTGTGTGTGTGTGTGTGTGTGTGTGTGTGTGTGTGTGTGTGTGTGTGTGTGTGCACGCGTGTGTGTGTGTGTTGCTTTTTTTGCGCGGGCCTCCCGAACACTCCAGAAGTTGACGCCCTCGCCTCGAGATGAGAGCGAAGAGCCAGCCATGCGCGGGAGCGAACGTGGTGGTTCTGTTGTCTACAGCTGTCGAAATGCGCGCGACTCGCGCACAATCATCGAATAGCGAACACGACCTCTTCGAGGTCATCTACCCTGCAACCACCGTGCGACCGCGCGTGAAACGGCGAAAAAAGACGGGCCAAAGCGTTGAGCCGCAGACGGTGAACCAGTGAACCACCTGCAGGCCGTCTACGGTCAAGCTCGCAGGTGGCATACCCGAGCACGATGTCGTTGGGGCGGTGCGCAGCCAAACAGCACGGCACAGAAACGCAGACAGCCGGGGAGCTGCGAAGCTTAACAACAAGCACACACAACGCTGTCCACGTCAGCAGACCCAGAGCTCCAGCGCACCAACGTACAAGCGAAACATGGCCATCAGACCCCAAGTCGAGAACATGAGCCTCGTCGCCGAAGGGTTACAGCTCTTTGGAGGTACCCGCTACGAAGAACATTCCAAGGCGGAGGATCCGAACATGAAGAACAGAAGGCTACAACACCGCGTGCCAGCTGCATTGGAAAGCTAATTATATAGATATACATATATATATATACATACATACATATATTGTCGCCGATTTCGGGCCCTGGGAGTCCCAGGACTACCAAGGAGCGACCAACGGCAGAAGACCGGCCTGGACTCAAAGGAGTGTGTTGTAAGGTTTCCGGGATTCGGGGCTCGAAGATCGATGATTCTCAAAGATTTCTGGATGATTTCCAATGCGTTTAGGACAAAGGGAAGTTTCCATCAGCCGTGCCCACAACCGTGCCCAGTCGAGAGCGTTCCAAACGGCCGCCTGAGGCCGGAGATAGTGATGACCCGAACGCCAAATGGGTGGACAAAATGGGGATCGGAGCTGACGGAGAGGTCAGTCGCCCCCCCCCGATCCCCTCTGGCTGTGGGCAGGTTTGGGAGCCATCTGGGGCCCCCCCCCACTCTCGCCAGAGATCCGAAGTCTTGATTTTTCACATGCAGGTTCCCCGGAAGTCCCCACCCATTCCCCATGGCACGCTTTTCATTCCGAACCGTTCTTGACGGCCCCGGGCCCGGCGAGGGTTTCGAGATGCTGAAAGCAGAAAGGAACACTGACCGGACACAACAAAATACATGTGAGAAATCCCCCACCCCTACCTCCGCTGATCCAGGCCTGCGAGCTACTGACTACTTACCAGAACACCCCGACCCAACCCGAAGGCCCGAACTTCGGGTGGGGAGGTGTACGGGTTCCATACGTGATTTTTCAATGTTCCCCGACCCCCCTCACTGGAAGTGGCGGGCAAATAGAGGCCTTCGGATTGGGTTGGGGTGGTTTGGTGGGTGGTGAGCTACTGATTACGGCAGGCTCGCGTCGTGCGACCCTCGCGCTGGCTACCGACTCCGCGTGGGTCCTGCACCCCCTGCGCGACTGGCGGCGCTTCGATCGCCAAATCGATGCATGGTGTCCGCCTCTGGGCCACAGGCGGCGCTCCACCTCGAGCGCCCGCGGCGGGGTCGCAGCCACCGGACCGACGCGACGCGAAGCTGCCGTGCATGGCCTGCGCGGGGTCGCGGCGTGGCGGTCCTAGCCGACGCAGGGCATTTCGGCGCTGACCCGGGCGTGGGCGCGCCCACGCGAGAGGAGCGTGAGACGAAGCCAGGGCGAAGATTAATTCGAGTAAGGAGAAATCGGGAGTCTCTGAGATCCAGCGGCTTTGCATGACCCCAGAGCCTCCCATGAGGCCCAAAGAAATCACAAGACGCCCCAAGAGGCCCCCCAAGAGGCGCCTCGAGGGCCCCAAGAGGCTTCCATGAAGACCCAAGAGGTCCTGAACTTCGGAAGACCCAAGAAGCGCCCCTGTCCTCCTCGCATACAGGGTCGGCGTCACTGGCCGTAAGGCCTTCACAATCGAGAAATTCTGACATCCAGTGCCTCTGGAAGGTGTGTTGGGCGCCGCGGCCTTCCTAGATCGATCTGTAACGCTCTGAATGACGAACGAACGACACACAAACACACACACACACACACCCATACCCATAAGGGGGTCGGAGAGGGCTACGGGTGCGTGTTGTCGGATTGGTCCCCGCTCGAACGGGAGCGCCCCCCAGGGGTCCGACAACCCGCGCCCATACCCATAGCCTGTCACCCTCCCAACGACACCAACATGGCTGTGGGCGTGTGTTGTTCGCTCGTCAATGAAAGCGCTCTGGAACGCTCTGTGACCGACTTATCCTTGCCCCCGCCCCGCTCGACTGCGGGGGGCTGTGTGTGAAGACACCGCGACGTCGCGTCGGAGATCCGGGTCCTCGTCGTTGCCATCGTCCCCTGCCTCCAATGCACAGATGCTCTTCGCAATTCGGGGATCTTCTCACCTGGGTCAACGCAAACCGGGGTCAGTCGGGCATTGCAGGATCCTGGCAGATCCTGCAAGATCCTGCAGGATCCTGCACGCATGCCTGGGTCAATGCACCCCTGACTCTGCAGGATCCTGCAAGATCTGGCGCTCTGACTGACCCCCGTTTGCATTGATCCCCGTCTCTCGAGCCTCGACCACGTCCGGCCTCTGGGAGCCCGGGACGGAAGACTGTCCCTGGAGAAAGGGTCGCGACTTTCAGGGTCCCCGAATCAAAACCCACAGAATCGAAACTCTGAAGAGGGGGGGGCAGGAGGCAGCGACGCGGAAGGAGAAAAAGAGGGAGGAAGAGGACGCCAGGACGCCAGCCATTGAGGCTCAGGCCCGCTTGAACGGGGACGTTTTGATAAGCTAGGGCCTTGGCGCGCCCGTGAAAACTGCAGCTAAAGGTCGAATCAGTCTCCATTCTTCATTCTCTCCAGGTGATATTTTCAAAACAAATGGAAACTGCTTACAATGTCCTTGCTCAGGGGGTCCCCAGAGGCGTCAGCTAGTCCCCCGCCGGCGCTCCGTGAGGCACGGAATCACGGCGCGACAACCTCAGAGGCCCGCCTCGAAGACTCCCAGAGTGTTTGTGTGAGTATGCAGAAGCGGAGCAGGGGCGAGAGAGGAGGGGCGAGAGGAAGGAGCGAGAGGGGAGGAGGGAGGACGGAGGAGGAGAGGCAACAGGAGGCATCGGCGCAGGGGACGAGGAGCCAGAAGAGGACGCCAAGACCCCAGACACGGAACCGCACCCTGTAGTCCACCGTCAGCGCTCAACGATGCAGGGGGTCAATGCGCGATCTCCTCAGGCCAGCCTCCACGATTCCCAGAAGCTTTGTGTGAGTAAGCGGGAGGGGGGACGGAGCGAGAGAGGAGGAGTGTGAGGGGATGGACAAGCTAGGCGTGCTCGCGCCATATTGCATATCGGTATCAGCCTCTCATTCCTTCCCATGCCTTTCGCTGACTCTTACGTTGTATCCGCGGGCGCGTGCCATAGCCCACCTAGAACTTCAAAGAAGAACTCATCGTGTTTTGCGAATTGGGAAAAGATGGGAGCTGCGTACATCGAA